ATAAATTATATTTATATAAATATATAAATGAATTTATATATAAATTCATTTCCTTATCCCCCTTTCCGTTATAAGACCCCTAAACTTATTATGGCGAAGGATACACTGGGCATCACCCTGTAAAATCCCCTCATCTGGTTGATTTGGGTGCTGCATGGCGATAGCTTGTGGAAATTCTCCCAGCATTCTTTGCTGAAAGGCTTCGAGTCTCTCGTAGTCAAGCCCTCGACAGACAAACTCCTTATTCTGTGTAGAGAGAAAGAAAAATCCATAAATAAATATATACTATTTAATTTATTGTTGTTTTTTCATTATATATTTATTTTAAATGAAAAAGCAATCCCTTAATTTAATCTTTACAATTATTACAAACAAACAGAGCATGTAAATATCGCAATAGCTCACCCTGAGGAAGAAGGGAAACTTCCGGCCATAAAATCCCACCCTGAAGAACTCCGGCTCTAGTCGCTGCTGCTCCATGATGTTGTCATAATATGCTGCCTCCATTTTCTGTAAAGAAAGACGGAGCTAAATATTCACACAGTGTTGACCTCCTTCTGCGCATAATACATAACAGTACATTAATAGCTGCGCAGTCCACTCAAAGTGCTGTTATATAATCTCTATTCATATACAGTATTCACATTTAAGAAAAATAACATCAAAAAGCACTGACCCGTATCCAGCTGAGACTCTGATAATCGTACAGGGACTCGTACTGGAAGGCTAGTTCACGGCACGGCGGGATGCCGTACTCCCAACACTGAGAAAAGAACAAGAACAGGACAGCATATGCAGTTTAAAACTAGATTTGCATTTCTAGATAAGAAACTCCATCAGTTCTGGCATGGCAAGTTTTAGACAGGTTTATAGAAAGAAATGCCACATTACACTTAGTTTGCACCTTGTTTTCTGACAGGTGTGAATTAAAGGGAAAGTTCATCCAAAAATGAGAATTCTATCATCATTTACTCACCCCCAAGTTGTTCCAAACCTGTACAAGTTTCTTTCTTCTGTTGAACACAAAAGAAGATATTTTGTTTGATAGATAATGGTAAGTAAATAGTTGCTGGTAGCCTTTGACTTCCATAGTATGAAAAAAAATACTATGGAAGTCAATGGCTACCCTCAACTGTTTAGTTATCAACATTCTTCAAAGTATCTTCTTTTGTTTTCAACCGAAGAAAGAAACTCATAATAGGTTGAAAAATTAATTTAAACTACAGTTATATTTTGAATGTTAAAAATGTTAAATTTGACATGAAATAGAAATTAAAAACTCTTTTCTAAACGCATATTACAAATGTTTCATATACATTTTGCACTGGTACATTTTTTGACATTCCACTCCCACTTCTCAACATCCAATCAAAAATCATTGCACAGAACCAAGTCCCGCCCTATATTTTTGTCCTTTTCGAAAATCTGTTATATTTGCATGTATGTAACAATACGGAAGAAAAGATCTATCGCTACTTCAGTTTCATTGCAACTTTAACCCTTTCCCTGCCATTGACGAGCTATCTAGTCTTTTACAGGAAAACGCTTCCCCGCCAAAGACGAGTTTTTACGGCTTTTCGTGTTTTCACTGTTATACATTAGGGGGTGCTATTACACATCTTCTGAACGAGTACAAAACCTCCCGAACAAAAACAAATGTGAACAGGACGGAGGAACTAGCGATCTCTTAAAGGGGTCATATGATGCTTTTTTAAAGATCATTATTTTGTGTATTTGGTGTAACAGAATATGTTGACACTTTAATGTTCAAAAAACACATTATTTTTCAAATACTGTACATTATTGTAGGTCCTCTATGCCCCGCCTCTCTCAAACGCTTTGTTTTCTACAAAGGCCCTCCTTCCGACAAGCGCAGTCTGCTCTGATTGGCCAGCTGACCCAGTGCATTGTGATTGGCCGAACCCTGCAAGCACTCTTCGGAAATGTAACGCCCCTTACCATAATCGCGAGCGTCAGCTTTCAAAATAAATGTAAAGACAGTAAATAATGTCATTAGTTTTACCATCAGTTCAAGCCCGAAAGGGGAACA